TCAGTACTTGAGATTCTCTGTGTGTATTTATTCCTCTCCTATTTATGATTTAGTCTTCCATTGAGGAAAGATGTCCTCCCTTCCCTGCTTGTCTGTTTATACCAATGTGATCCTGAGTCTCATTTGTAAAAACAGGTCATACTGCTTTCATTATTTTGTTGGTGTTCAAATTCAAGACCTGACTAATGGAGACAACCCCCACCCCGATACCTTGATGTCTCTACCATTCTTTAACATCTCTTCGTTTTCTTGCATGACAAGTTCAATTTGTTCTTTCCTTTCCTTGTTCCAGCCTGGGAATGTTCTGTTTTTCAAAGAAGCTCTGGTTCTGTTCAGTAGAGGATACCATCCTTAAAAATCCATGATCTGGACTCTAGTAGAGTTCAGTGCTCTTACCAAGACTGACCTCTGTTAGACCGTCTCAGTGGGCAGACATGTACACACTGTCTACAATCTGTCTGTCTGCCTGTCTATCTATCTATCTATCATTCATCCATCTATCTACATATCTATCCATCTACCTATCTATCTATCTATCTATCCATCCATCCATCCACCCATCCATCCTTCTATCTATCTATCTATCTATCCATCCATTATCTATCTATCTATCCATCTATCTACATATCTATCCATCCATCATCTATCTATCTATCTATCTATCTACCTACCTATCTACCTATCCTCTATCGCTCTATTCCGCCATTATCTAACCTCAACTGTCTAGTTTTCTATATCCTATGCTGGGTTTCATGGTCCTATGTCATATCTTTGTGTCTGTATGAGTGTGATGTATGTGTGTGCATTGTATGTGAGAGTGTCCTGCTTTATCATTCTGTCTTTCTGTGTATATGCTTAACATTTTACAATAATTTATTTATATTGTGTGTGAGAGCCTGTCATGGCTTGTATGTCGGGGTCAGAGGACAAATTTGAGGAGTCTGTATTTTTCTTCCACCATGCAGTCCTGACTGAACTCATATTATCGGGTTATTGACAAGCACTTTTGCCCACTGGGCTGTCTTGCCTACCCTGTGCTTTCTTCTTTTTAAGACAGTATTGCCCAGTGAACCTGGAGCTAGACTGGTAGCCAGTAAGCCCCAATGACTTCTGTCTCTGCCCTCCGCAGTGCTAAGGCTGCAGGCACACACAGGACCACACCCTGCTTTTTACATGGGTGCTGACATCAGAACTTGGGTCTCATGTTTACTTACAGAGCCTCTCCAGCCCATTGCTATGGCAGATTTGTCTCATCCAACCACACAGTGTTCATTCTTTTCTTCCTTTTTCTGTAGTTGTAGCCTTCTTTTTACATAGTGGTATATTATTTGTGTTTTAATAAATAAAGCTTGTCTGAAGATCAGACGACAAAGCAGCCACACCAGTCAGCCATACAGGTCAGGGAGTGGAGGCACACACCTTTAAATCCCAGGACTCAGAAGACAGAGGCAGAGGGATCTCTGTGAGTTCAAGGCCACCCTGGGCTTCATGAAATTGAATCTGTCTAAAAGAGAAACAGAGCTCACACAAAGGTGATCCCGCACTTGGGAGGTAGAGACAGGAGTGATATGGCTCGGCAGAGAGAGGAATATAAAGAGGAAGAGACAGGAAGTCATGGAGTGTGGAGTCTGAGGATTTGTGGAGACAGGATCTCACCTTTTCGGTCTGAAGATTTGGTAGAGGTAAAATGTCTTTCTGGTGGTTTGTTGCTTTGCTTTTCTGATCTTTAGGTTGTATCCCAATATCTGTCTTTGGATTTTTATTATTCATGCTACATTCTTAGATAGTGAGAAACCTGGGTTTATTTATTGTCAATGCCTTTGCTTATGTGTGCAGTTCTTAAATGTTTAGAAAGTACTTTCAAAATTGCTGACACATTGATGTGATAGCAAGGCCTTCTGATTACAGTCAGACAGTTGCTCAGAGTTCTGTCTTCAGCTTTGGAATGAAGAAGTCGAAAGGTTATGCTTAAGTGTTATTAGATTTTTTTAAGGATTAAAAATGATATTTTAAAATCAAATTTATGTCTGTGTTTAGATATGCATGTGAATGCTGGTGCCTAAGAGACCGGAAGAGCCATCAGATCCCTTAAAGCTGGTTCTGAGTCATGTGACATAGGTACTAGAAACTGAACTCAGATCCTCTACAAGAGCAGTACATGCTCTTAACCACTGAATCATCTCTCTGCCCAGATAGGTGAAATTTTTTTCCTGAGTAATTATACTATCCAAATATTTCTGTTGAAATATTATTCTATGACTTCTTTGTTTCTTTCTTTGTGTATGTCCACACCTCTCCCCCCTCCCTCTGTGTGTGTGTGTGTGTGTGTGTGTGTGTGTGTGTGTGTGTGATGTCTTTCTCTCCTTGTTTTAGGGATTGAATCTAGTTCATCTCACTTGTAAGGCAAGTGCTCTATTACTGAGTCATGTACCCAGCCCCGTCTTTATTTTTTATTTTATGACAAGGTTGTGCTAAGTGGCCTAGGGTGCCTTTGAACTAGGTTTGCAGTCCAGTTGAACCCTGAACTGGTGATTCTCCTGCCTCAGTCCCCTGAATAGCTGAGATTATTTCCTGAATGTTGATTTGGTTTGGTTTTCTGTCTCAGAGCTCTCCTCTATTCTTGTCTTACTTAGTTAGCCTAAGCACACAAGTCAGGAACATGATTCATAATGCTGAAGCTATTCACGGAGGTCTGCTTCAGGAAGTGCTAACCCCCGACCCTTCACGACTTTTCTCCCCACCCCATTCCCACCAACATCCCTTACGAACCCAGTCTCATAAGTCCCTGGTTTAATTTTGTACAGATAAACAGAGAGATGTTTCCCTTTTCAGTTCCCTCTGCTGGAAAAAAGATGCAAAGGTTCATGTACTAGAAATTTTTCTTCCCGTTACCAAATAACATTTTAAAGCCGACTTGGGTTTTGGGCTCTCTTCCCTTCCCCTCCTTTTTCCATATGGCCCTGGTCTCCTGGGAATCAGAGGGCTCTCGGAATCCTAAATTCACAGAGGTGGAACTGAATTAAAAAGTAAGACAGCTGCTGATTTGAAAAGGAGCCTTTGTCCCCTCTCAAGAAGAGTCCCAGGAGCGGCTCAAGGCCAGCACAGATGGCAGCTCCCCACCTAGGCCCACGTTGCGGTCTATGGAAGTTAACCGCGGATGGGGGGACTTTTCTGTTGACAGTGCTGGGCACCCAGAGACAAAGCAACAGGGGCTGAAGCAGCCAATACTGGGGGTTCCCCCTCCCCCAGGTTTTCAGCTGTGAGTCAAGTCAGACAGGCGGCTCCCCTGGGGAGAAGGAAGCCCTGCAGGTTTCCTGGCAGGTAACAGGATGCACCTGCACAGGGCTCAGGCTGTGGCTGCACAGCACAGCTGCTTTGACTTAGCCTGAATGGGCTGGATTCATGCAGCAGGGAGGGGTAGGGGAGAGCGGAAAGCGGCAGTTGCACACCTGTCTGCAAGCTTCTCGGGTTGGAAAAGACCTGAATAGAACGTGTTTCCGTTCACTTAGAACTGAGCAGGTGGCTCCTGAATTCTGGCATAGACTAACCTGTTGTCAGCTAGGAGGGACAAAAGGGACAATTTACACAGGCCCTGGCTTTCTCCCACCCTCCCTTTCAGACCTTGTCTAGACTCCGAAGAACTGGCTAGTAGTTTTGGCAAACTATGTTTGATTTATTTGTGTAAGCTCAGATTCCATAAGAATGATCTTCCCCGAGGTCTGGCTATAGACAGAGAGCTGTAAGGAACCTGTTGTGGTGTGTGTGTGTGTGTGTGTGTGTGTGTGCGTGTGTGTACGTGTGTGTTCACTCACACATGCACATGTTGTTAAGGACTGAGTCTATGGGCTCATGTGTATTAAGAGACCCCCCCACATACACACCACTGAGCTATATCTCCATCCTTCTTTTTCTTTTCCACGTTGAGACAGGGTCTCCCTAGGTTGTCCAGGCTACCTTTGAATTAACCCTGCAGCCCAGACATGCCAAAAGTTTGGGATCCTCCTGCCTCAGCCTCCTGAGTATCTTATAGCTATGCACAAGCTTGTACCATAAGGCCTCACTGTTCAGACGGTGTTCAGTGACCAGGGCCTCAGAAGTAAGGACCACTTTGCACGCCTGCCACTCTGGAGTATTCTGCACTGAAATGCTCTGAGGGCGGTGAGCTTCTCACTGTGATAGCAGCTCCATCAGGAGAAGCGGCCTTTAAGGATGCCGTCAGGAGCTGTGACTCTGATGGGAGTCCCAGGGACTTTCACAAGTCAGAACTCGACCCCAAGTAAGAGAATGTTCTCAGGACGCTCCAGGCTGGCCACAACAGTGAGGTCTACGCCCTGTGTCCACGAAGACAGTGAGAGCAGCCTTCACCTTGTTTGGCTGTGGGGTGTGGTCCAGAGGACATGGAATTGGTCAGAGACATGGCAGCAAATCTGGCCTCTAACTTGCTTCCATTGTCCTCCTGGAAAAAGGGGGACACGATAACAGAATCATCTATTTCCAAGATCCTAGCGTGCTCTGAGGGTAACTATCGAACATTGCAGGAACTTCAGACTACACTTGAAAAAGTTCCCTGCCCCCACCACGCAGATGAGAAATGGGGAGACACGGGGCCATACCCCCATCTTTGATTGCAGAAATACCTCAGGAAGTCATCATTACTTACTTTGTATCTAGCCAAAGAAAATAAGTAGGACTCAGTTGCTGCCCACAAGAATTGCCTGTTAGTTAGGAAACCGGAAGTTCAATATGCAGGGAGAGCGTAGTTGGGGTGGCCTTGAGACTGGCAGGGAAATCGTTATGGAGTATTTCATCTGAAAACAGCCCTGAAGGGAGACAGAGGCCTGGAGAAGCTAAGAGAGAAAGGAGTCGACGTCACAGGTATTTGCTGTCATCTTTTAGGTGAATTTTGGGCAAATTCGTTTTGCATTTCTGTGATTGTCAGCTCTGAGTCAGCCTCCAGCTCTGCAGCAGGCTGCTGTTTGAAGGTGCACAAGGTGGTGGGCGAGATCGGAGGGGCCGTGCTCTACCCTGCCTTACGTCAACCTGGATCTAGGCACAAGTTCAGTGCTCAAGGGAGAACACTAGCTCTGCAGATCTCGCTTGAACCCCTGGGAAATATCTGTCTTAGATGTTACAGAAAAGAGTGAGGGAGCTTGGGAGGGACTCATAGTGAACCAGGGCTGCTCCCCGGCTCTTTATGATGCCTTAAGGTGATTCCAGACGTGTCACCAACGACGAAGGTGAAGGATTAGACATGAGTCTCCCAGCAGCAGGATTTGAGCACTTTGGATCTGGATAAAGACTACCAAAGGGATAACCCCACCTCAGACCTTACTGGGGTATGTATTCCACAGACGTATCCATGGAAGCCATTCTGAAGCTCTTTGGAGAATACTTCTTCAAGTTCTGTAAGATGTCTGGCTATGACAGGATGCTGCGGACCCTGGGAGGAAATCTCACGGAGTTTATTGAAAACCTAGATGCCCTGCACAGTTACCTGGCACTGTCTTATCAGGTAAGGTCATCTGAGCTTTGCCTTGGTGGTCCTGAGAGGCAGAGAGAGAGAGAGAGAGAGAGAGAGAGAGAGAGAGAGAGAGAGATCCCAGTTGAGCTGCACAATCCATCCATGGCCTCTGGCATCAGTGGGTTCTCTTAAAGGATAGAAAGGAGGATGAGTACCCAGTGGCTTCCTGTGTAAACGGTTGACAAAAAGTCAGAGTTCTAGCCTTGTGGTGGTTGGGGGAGGGGATACTTCTGAAGGTTGGACCCAGACTTGGAATGACTCTGAGAAGTCAAACACAGTGGGAGAAAGGGCTGGAAAACAGGTTGGGGTGGATTTTCCAATTTCTCTTCAAGTCTCTTGGCCTGGGTAGAGCTGATAATAGCTTGGGCAACCAGATTAGGCCTGTGCAAGTATCGGAGGGAAAAGCTCGGCAGGGCCACGAGCCAGAACTGGGAGCCATCCAACACTGATTAACCCCTTGGGGTGACGGACTGGGGTGTTAGGAAACTACATTCCCAAGTGGGATATGTCCTCCTGGAGTCCATGCCTTGCTGGTGTTCTTGGAAGAGTTTATTGAAAATTCAAATGTTTAGATTTTCATCAAGATGCTTTATTGTAAAGATGTAGTGTTCATGCATAGTACAGATTATAGTTTATTAGCCTATATAAAACAGTTTATTTTATTTATTCTTTTCTCATAACATTATATCCCGACCAGTTTCCCCTCCCTCTACTTCTCCTAGTTCTTTCTCTCGCCTCCCCTCTCCCCCAGGTCCACTCCTCCATTTCCCTTCAGAGAAGAGCAGGCCTCCCAAGATATCCACTGAACACGGCATAGCAAGTTACAATAAGACGGGCACAAACTCTCATATCAAGGCTGGACAAGGCAACCAAGAGTGAGGAAAAGGGTCCCAGGAGCAGCCAAGAGTCATAGACAGTCCCACTACCACTGTCAGGAGTCCCACAAGAGCACCAAGCTACGCAGTCATAACCTGTATGCTGAGGACCTAGCTCAGACCCACACAGGGTCTGTGTTTGTCGCTTCATTCTCTGTCAGTCCCTATGAGCTCCATTTAGTTGATTAAAACAGTTTATTTTTATACCCCTTTATAACTGACCAAGAACTTTCATCATTATTTCTATATCTTGTGTTCATAAACACTCTGGGAGGGTGGTCATGAGGATATGATGGGATGGTGCTTGCTCAGATGGCCCCTTCACTGATGGGATGGTAAAGGGGAACATACTTTTCCCATCTTCCAGATCAAGGCAAAAGGAAAGCATTTGTGTGTGTGTGTTTGTGTGTGTGTGTATGTGTGCATGTGTATATGTGTGTGTGGTGTGTATGTGGTATGTGCAGTGTGTGCATGTGTGTGTGGTACATGTCGTGTGTATGTATGTGGTATGTGTGTGTGTATGGTGTGTATGTGGTATGTTCAGTGTGTGTTAGTGTGTATGTGATGTGTGTGTGGTGTGTATGTGGTATGTGCAGTGTGTGTATGTGTGTGTGGTACAAGTAGTGTGTATGTATGTGGTATATGTGTGTGCGTGTGTGGTGTGCATGTGGTATGTTCAGTGTGTGTTAGTGTGTATGTGATGTGTGTGTTGTGTGTATGTGGTATGTGCAGTGTGTGTATGTGTGTGTAGTGGGTAAATGGTATGTGCAATGTGTGTGCATGTAGTGTGTGTGCTGTACATGCATGTGTGTGTATGTGGTATGTGTGTGTACATGTATGGTATGTATGTGGTATGTGTAGTGTGTGTTAGTATGTATGTGGGGTGTGTGTGTGTGTGTGTGTGTGCAGTGTGTGTATGTATTGGGTCATGGGCATGTGGAGCTCAGATAACCTCAGGTGTCAGTTCAGTCTTTACCTCTTGTTTGACACAAGGCCTCTCGTGGTTTGCGGTTGCATAGGTCAGGCTAGCTGGACCTGGATATTATCCTATCCTGTGCTCTTTATTTTGCCGTAGGGATTCTGGGATTACTATATACATGGCCACACCTGCCTTTAAGTGGATTTTCGGGATTTAAACTCAGGCCCTCACACTTTCACAGTAAGGGTTTTCCCCATTGAATCATCCTGACAGCTCCTAAATAGTTACTGCATGGCCACTGTATATGAAGCACTTTAAAAAAGGCATTTGACAGAGAAAAAATAAGGAACCAAATAATCCACATTATGGTGATGTGTGGATTGAAAGAGGCAACACAAAGGTCTATAATATTGGAGACCCAAGGAAGGCATTTTGTGAACAATTACTTCTCTGTGCTCCCTTCACTCTGGTCAGCATAGACAGTTCCAACATCATAAGCACTTACACGGCAGCTGCGGTCAAATTTCTTCACCAATGTACACCCAGCAGGGTGCGAATAGTTAGATCCTATCTTCCTAACCCCACATGTGCACATACACGACACACAAAGAGAGATGTGAACACATATTCATACATACTGTGTTATTGGGTGACAAGATCTTTGGGAGATGCAACACATTTAGCCCAGATTGGGAGTCCATAGCAGACCGGAGCATGGAAAAGGCCCAAGTCCGACTTGAAGAACCAATGAGTTTTATTGGGATTACTTTCTGCAATATGGGTGAGGGGTTACTTACAGGAGCTGAAATGACTCGCAGACAGCTGCATTAGCTCACCCCAAAAGCTCACCCCAGCTCCGGTGACAGTTCACAAGAGCTGGGAATCTGGAGCACACAACACAGACTGCAGCAAGCTCAAGAGTTGGATCATGCCCCTGACAAGTGATTGAGTTATTCTAAACATCTTCCAGGCAGCTGGTCTGGTCTCAGGGTCTTCTCTGTAGCTTGACTTATCTGAGAGAAGGACCCTCAGCCATCTTTATTGCTTACTCTGGGAGGAAGAAGCCTAGTGCATCTGGTCAATTTCAGGAACTTCCTGAAGCTGTTTTGAGTTGTTTACCTGATGGTTTAAAAAGCTTCCCTGAAGATGGAATATTTCAATATGGGAGGAAACTGATAATCTACCAACACTAATAAACTTTTAGAAATATAAAGTATATGAAATTCAAGAAGAAACCCATTTTCTCAAGCAGCCCTGCATTGTGAAGGACACTAGTCCCTTCCACTTCTCTCCTCGTTTAGATCAAAGTCTAGTGTCTTGTGAGCTGAACTGTGGCTGAACAAGCAGTAGGGGACTCCTCACCACTCCCTGTCCACTCCTTCAGAGAAGACATCCCTGTCCACTCCTTCAGAGAAGACATCCCTGTTCACTCCTTCACAGAACCTCCCAGCGACCTTTTCCTAGCCAATCATAAGAGGGCCCTGTTGAAGGGTCTACAGTTATTTCTGGACAAATAATGTTTCTTTCTGTACATTCTTGAAGGTTTCTAGTTTTCAAGTGGAACCAGCCTTCGGAACAAAAACGAATTGATTATTTCCAGTTGTGAGGTCTCTGAGCAGCTCGTCTTCCCAAATGAAAATGCTCACATTGCTTGGTCACAGGCCAAGTATGGTGACAGATAACCCTTGGGGGTAACAGGAGCAGCATGGTATGGTGCCAGGGATCATGGAGGCTTAGCAATGGTTCTCTCATTAATCTCCTTTGTAAGTTCCCTGGATGAGGCCCGAGTGCCAAATGCAATAGTTCAGGGAGAGAGACTTGGGGTAAGCTTCCTCAACAGGGGCTGAAGTGGTGGTGTTATGTGAGTGGAGAGATGATGGGGACATGGTTCTATGGGTGGTAATGTATGCATATTATTGTCGATTTGTGTGTGCTAATTATTATTTATCTATTATATACACTGTTGTACTTTTGTGTGTATAGTAAAGGGTACACACTATTGTAGTTCTGTGTGTGCTAATAGGTGCATACTACTACTTCACACAATCATGGTTTATGAGACAGCTATACCATTCTTGGGCATATACCCAAGGGCTCTACGTCAGCTAGAGAGATACTTACATATCCATGTTTATTGCTGAACGACACAAACAGTCAAGACATGGAACCAGCCTAGATGCCCATCAATGGACAAAGGAAATATGATACACATACATACACAACTGTGTGTTTTGCAGCTATATAGAAAAATAAAATCTTGACATTTTCAGGAAAGTGGATGCCACTGGAAGAGACTATGTTGCGAGAGAATTGTCTGTATTCTGTCAATCATATTTTAAATAAACGCTGATTGGCCAGGCAGGAGGTGTAGGCGGGAAAACCAGAGAGGAAGTGGAAATGATGTGAGAAGAGCAGGAGAATCCTGGGGAGGAGGAAGTTGATTCCTTGCACTCCTGCCCAGATCACCGAAGCAGCAGGATGTGAGCTGCCCCACTGAAAAGGTACTGAGCCACATGGCTAACATAGATCAGAAAAATGGGTTAATCAAGATGTGAGAGTTAGCCAGTAAGAAGCCTGACCTAATGGGCCAATCAGCATTATAACTTATAGAGATCTCTTGTGTGATTTTACTTTGGGACTAAACAGCTGGGGGAACAGGGCAGAACAGAAAAACCCCAACAAACAAGCAGCTCCCCCCACCCCCATGTTATATTATGTTAAGTGAAATAAGCCAGACTCAGAAAGACAAATGCTATGTGTTTTCTCCCATAGGCAGTCCTGGATTGAAAGTCATGTAGGTACAGGCCATGTGTGGTGGTGTGCTCCTTTAATCTCAGCATTCGAGAGGCAGAGGTGGGCGGATTTGTGTGAGTTTGAGGTCAGCCTGGTCTATACAGTGAATTCTAGACCAGTTATGATTACATAGCAAGACCCTGTCTCAAAAATAAAATTTACAAGGAGGGGCTGAAGTGATGACATAGTGATTAAGGAAGCTTACTGTTCTTCAGAGGACCTGGGATCACTTCCCCCGCTTACATGGCAACTCATAGCCATCTGCAGTACCAGTTCCAGAGGATCCAAGACCCTCTCTGGCCTCCACAGGCACCAGGCACGCATGTGGTACACATACAGGCAAAACACTCATACACGTAAAGTAAAAATATGTAACTCGAATATTTTTTAATTACATATGTGTAAATATACATATATGTGTATGTTGATGCATATATGTTAATGTGTATTTGTTAGCATTACAGAACAGAAAGGGGATCATGAGAGGAACGAGAAATCTTAAGAGAGGTGGGGAGGAGAGGTGATGGTTACATGTGAGAATTAAGCCCAAGGGTATAAAGTGAAGAAGAAAGGGAGCCTGCTGGAGGAGGTGTAGGGCCAGTCTGGGAGTGGACGGAATAAGAATAAAACATGATATATAAAGATGCTGTGGTTAAACTCATTATTTTGTATATTAACCTAGAAAAATAAAAATATACTATGGGCCTTAATATAAACAACGTGTTTTCCCTGTTGGGAAAATGCTATGTCTGTTCATTAGGAAATGAATGCTCCATCCTTTCGTGTAGAGGGAGGAGTTGACGGGACCATGCTTCTCCATTACTACTCGGACAGAAATGGCCTGTGCCACATTGTACCAGGTAGGAAACGGATCAGCCCATCCCAGCGCTCTCTAGGGTGGCCATACACCCCCTGTGAGGAGGGCATGCCGTCTCCTAGAGTGACCGGCTTCTTTGCCATTATCTTAAGGATCTGGAGACTTTTACAGTTGTAGTGATGGGTTGCGGGCAGGCCTGCTTTTCATCCTGTCCAGCTCCCGCACGGCTAGCTTAGCCCCAGAAATAATAACACATAAGTTATATTCATTTAAATACTGCCTGGCCCATTATCTCTACAGAGTTAGTTACTGCCTAACTCTCACACCTTGATATTAACCCATTTCTAATAATCTGTAGCACCACGAGGTGGTGGCTTACCGGAAAAGATTCAGCATGTCTGACCTGGTGGCTGGCTCCATGGCTTCTGCCTCACTTCCCTTCTTCCCAGCATTCTATTCTGTTTACTCCGCCTACCTAATTTTCTGTCCTATCAAAGGGCCAAGGCAGTCTCTTTATTGACCAATGAAAATAACACAATAGACAGATAACCCTCCTCCATCATACAGTAATTCCGGAACACCAGAAGACATGATCTTTAACACCCTACTGTTGTTTGCAAAGCTGTGATAATTCTGTGGAGCGTGTTGTATCTATTGACTCTTTAAAAGAATTCACCATTGTAGGAAAGTTTTGGTATTTAGTCTATATTTTGAACCCAATGCCTCCTGCATTCTAAGTATACATATTCCTCTATGGAGATACATCTCCTGCCCCAAAACCCTGTATAGGCAAGCGGGTATTCATGCCATGCTCCCCTTAACTCTCCTATCACTGCATGTGGAGTTGCTGCTCATCTTTTGCTGATGTAGATACTGTGGTGCTTTCTTCATATTTTATATTTCACTCCTAGATGGATCCCCAGAACAATAGTTCTGAATACATGAGCTTTAACTCATTTCCAGTGGAACTTTGCTTCCCTTTACAGAGTTTGTCTAGTGGGTTAGGTGTCTTTCTGGAATAAAAGCATGAATAGATGTTGAAGCAGAAATTGAAATGACAGGGACATAGTTAGTATTCAGACTCTCAAAACTTAGATCCCTGTCTATTCTTCCCTCTGAGCCATTATAGGATGCCTACCTTGAGGTGAGGCACGGGCATAGTGAACTAAAGAAAACCCACAGAGTTGGGCAACTGGGAAAGTGAGTGGCTCCTGGCAGTGTGCTGCCTTCTGCCGTTCCTCACCCACAGGTGTCATTTTTCCACAGGCATCATTGAAGCTGTGGCCAAGGACTTTTTTGACACTGATGTGGCCATGAGTATCCTTGACATGAATGAAGAGGTGGAGAGGACAGGGAAAAAGGAACATGTCGTGTTTCTGGTTGTGCAAAAGGCTCGCAGACAGACAAGAACGGCCAAGGCCAACAGGTCACAGGGCAGTGAGGACATCGACACAGAGCAAGAGGTACCGATCCACTGTGTCTTCAGAGAGCATAGTGTCCCCAGGCTGGGCTACTTGTCCTGGAATGGTCCGTGCAAACAACACAAATGAGTGGGCCTTGGACAGTGGAATTCAAGGCAAGCTGTCCCAAGCCTGACTTGATTGACACCGTGGACCAGATTATTCTGGGCTGTGATGGGCTGTGCTTTCTAGGATCCTCCTCCACCTACACTCTGTAGGATCACCCCCTCACAGACATCTATCTATCCAGCATGACCAGAACCCTGTCCCTTAGTTATGGCGAACAAAATTGCTTCCAGGCATTGCCAATGTCCGTAGGCCAGAGGTGGGGGGGGGGGTAAAAATCCCTTCTAACTGAGAACAGCAAAGTCCAGGGTAACTTAATGCAGACTTTCTACGATGAACCTTAGCCTGTAAAATGTTCACATATAAGAATGTCAAAGTTGAGTATAGGTATAGTTCATACCTATAATGGGATGCTGAGACAGGAGGATTGCTATGAGTTTGAGATAAGTCTGAGATGAAGAACAAGAACCCTCTCTTAAAGTCTCAACGACAAACCAAGGTAAAGGGTTTGGAGTTGGAATTTGGCATCTTCTTTTGCTAGCTTCTTTCTATGAGAGGAGCTATCAGGTCCTCAGTGCCTATTAGCAGGTGGAACCAGTTCCAGGTCCAGTGGGCAGTCAAGAGCCATCCTTGATCACCTCAGATGTAGCACATAAGGTGAGCATTGTCAGTTTAGATGCCATGTGTGTTAAGATCTCTCTGGATCCACGTAGTCTATGCAAACACAGAGATAGGACTATGATTCCTGGAGCCCGGGGGTTATGCCTTAGAACACGCAAAGCTCAGGATCACAGAAGATCACAGATCAGGATCACAGAAGAGTTTTCAACCCCAGGTGCTGTGTGATGTTTTACTCTTTTATTCTTTTGGCTTTTGGTGGGGTGTGTAGGAGGTGAGGCCTGCCACCCAGCTCTTAAATAAATCACTCACGGAGGCTATTCTTAGTTATGAATACCCGGCCTTAGCTTGGCTTATTTCTTTTCAACTTTTCCTGACTTAAGTTACCCCGACTATCTTTTGCTTCTGGGCTTTTATCTTTCTCTATTTCTGTATAGCTTTCTCTACTTCATTCTCCATGGCTTGCAGTGTAGCTGAGTGGCTTACCCCCTGACACCTTCCTTTCCTTGTTCTCACAATCCTCCTCTTCCTCGTTTCTCCTATTTATTCTCTCTGCCTGCCAGCCCTGCCTTTCCTTGCTCCTGCCTCGCTATTGGCCATCCAGCTTTTTTATTAGGAACGTCAGGTGTTTTAGGCAGGCAAAGAATCACAGCTTCACAGAGTTCAACAAATGCAGCATAAACAAAAGCAGCACACCTTAAAGTAATATTTCCCCGACATCAGGAAAAGTGCGATGGGTTCTTTGAAAGTAACGGGGACTGTCTCCATTCTTGGTGAGCTTGCCTCAGGTTTTAGGGCGTCAGACAAATGACAGCCACCGATGAGCCAGTAGCTTCTGCATTTGTTGTCTCACATCCAAGAAGAAAGAAATGGGGATAAGGGGTAATCAGAATGAACACAGATTTCTTAGGGAAACAGGAAAAAGAGCTCTGGCCATGGGGGAAGGGTCCACGAGAGGAGTACTGTCACACTGCCTGCCTCGTAGGTCTTATGGAGGGAACTGGATGGAGGCTGAAATGATCGTTATCGGGCCTGGTCAGTTTTAAAAGTAATAACAGTCTGAACTGGTAAGGAGTTCACAAACCCTCTGCACACTCTCTTGGCCCAAGCTGAGAGTGACCAGCCTAGAGGAGGGTTCTGCGTGGTGTGTGATCAGCTCATGGTCCACCAAGACCCACGCATCTATTGCCTAGGGAGAGTTATTTCCTGCTGCTCAAGTTGTCTAGCCGCCTAGATAACTACTTATCATAGTTAGAGAGCAACTATCCAGTTGCTACGAACCTTTTGCTATTGTAAAGGGAGACTGTGGTGAGCATCCTTCCCTACCTGCTTCTGCCAAAGTTTGTATTTCACCCTGGGACATAGTCTTGGAGTGACACTTAGAAAACCATGGCCCTCTAAGCATTCCCCGAAGATCTTGTAAAAAAATATATATATATGGCTTCCTGTGATAGAGAAATGACTTGAGGGTCCACCAGCAAGTACATCTTGGAGCCTCAGGCTCTTGACAGAACTGATCTTGAGAGCCCTCACACTGTCCCTTCAGCCACCAACATTCTTCAGTACCCAAAGATGGGCCCAGTAGCAGCAGGCAAGGCTTGTTCATGCCCTGCGATCTGGTGCCTGAGCTTCCCTCCCTGCCCTCTTCAGGCTCTCAAGACAATGCTCCTTAGGAAGAAGGAGAAAATTTTGAACATCGCTGTTTGCCCTGGGGAGAAATCTCATTGGGATATGAGGGGATCTGTCATGTCTGGAAAAGGTAAGTGTGCTGTTCTCCTGGACTCAGCTCTTAGAACCACCACATTTGCAGGAGAAGAGCCCCCTTAAGTAAACAGGGCAAAATGCTCTATTATTTCAAGGCCTCCGATTCCCTCGGAGCTTGGATTTGGCATCTTTTGTTTTTAACTTTTAAAATCAGCTTCTAACTTGCCATACAACACCTCTTTTGTTTGTGCTGGTTCACACAGAGACACCATCATCTCTGGAATAGGAAAGCCACTGGCTTGGGTTCAGTCCCAGAGGTGCCTGTGAAGAGGAAGCTGGGCACAGACATCCTGAGCGCAGTGAATTCTGCCTCTCTTCTGGACCCAGGCCTTCTTAACTGGGGTGTGTTTCTGGACTGGAAATCTGTGGCTAACCACAGCCAGCCAGCAGTTTGAAGGACAGAGGGCAAGAACCAAGAAAGCCCATGCCTGCCTCTGTCTCTGGGGAGCTGTGACATGGGACAGTGCTGCCCAGTTTTCCATTCATAAGGTGAAGGTGGTGAGCTCAACACATTGGGTCTTCGGGCGCCGAGCGAGTCTGTCACCCGGTACCTGACACTCAAGTAGCAATCAGAGCTCTGACCCAGCAGAAGAAGGGAGCTAGATGCTCCGTGTCATGGCCCGGTAGGTCAAATGACAGGCATCTGGGGGAGGGTGTGCAGGGCTCAAAGAGCTGCATTCTGAGTCCTTCAAGCTGTGGCAAACACAGTTGGCATCCTTTGTCTGGGAGATTTTCATATCAAAAAGGCTCCATTGAGGATCTGCACCCCCTGCCAAATAGGACTGTTGGTTAAATTTTCACGTGCCACCCTAAACTGTCAGTCTGAAAAGCTCCATGGCAAATGTCCCTGATGCTGGGACGGGCACATACTCACTCCTCTTCTGGTTCATTGTCTGCTTGTCACCATTTCAATGCCAGCTCTGTTTTCATGGCGAGACATACTCAATTGGCCCAGAAACTAACTCTTCAGCAGTGGGCAGAAACTTGGCAGGGGGCAGGAGGGCTTCTCAACCTGGTCGCAAATGTTCTGTTTGTTTTAATTTGGAGGAATAATTGCGGTGGCCATCTGGAGATGCGGAGGGAGCTTGTGCTAAGGAGTGGGAATCGCACTTTTCTCGGGACACACTTAAGATTCTAACCCTGTCCAAGGGGCTCCGTGGGGGCCTCTCACTAGCGCTTTCTCTCTCTGCGTGTCTAGGGCCCCTCGGGGACACCTTCCGGCCTGTCTACCCCGAGAGACTGTGGATTGAAGGAGAGGTGTTCTGCGGTGTTTTTCCTTTCCACCTTGTTTTTGACGAAACAGTAAGAGCTCCTTTCAGAAGCTTGGGCTTGGGGCTAAAGCAGGGATCAATTCACTGTCGTTATGGCTGGTAAAGACTTAGATCCCAGAGTTCACGGGGCTTAAGAGACTAGACTTTGCCCTGGAGGGGCCATTGACTTCATTTCGTGTTCTAGAAGCTTCAGAAATGCATGCTCTTCCTTGGGTCAATAGAGCAAGGAAGTGGAACCAGTGAATAAATGGGAAAGTTTATGATCAGAAAGGAAGGCTGGAAGACCTTAAATTCACTCCAGAAAGAGGCATGGCACCCTATAGCCATGGTCCTAAACATGACCTGCCCCCCCCCCATGAGCACAACTGATTCTTAATCCCCCTATGGTGCTCATTCTTAGTGGTGCTCCCTGCCGCGTTCTGTGGGGCTGTGAGCACGGCCATTTAAATTTGGTGGCTATCAATTTCCCAGGAAAAAATAACCTTTTAACTGGAGCTGGGGTTTGATGGCAAACATCTATAATCACAGCACTCAGGAGGCTGAGGCAAGACTTAAGTTCAAGGTCAGCCGGGGCTACAGCATCTTGAAAGAGAACACCTCAAAACCAAAACAGCTGTAGACATAGATGATACAGACATGTGAACTGAGTTGATTTTTTTTTATTCATTCAAAGGGCATGTAGTCCCAAATATCTGTTAAAATGATCAGCCAATATGATTTCCTCTAATGTTTGTTGGAATTCAAATGCACATCACCTGCCAACTGCCTGCTCAACATGAACTCTGACATTTACTCACCTGAGTGTAGTGCCTTCCCTCAGAGACATGATGGTATCATGGCAGTAAGAAAACACCCATAGGTGGAAAACAGAATTATAAGCCAATGAATGCGCACGTTTTTCCAGTGCTACAACATCATGATTCATGCCATTGCTTTCAATGCAATCTGCTCTAAATACTCCCTTCCCTTTCAGCTTTTGGGTATAGGATGACGGGAACGGAATGATACATGATTTCTGTAGCTTACCTGAGTTCTTATGGCTAGTAAAGGCTCCCAGACACTGTGCTGGTATTGGGCAGGTGATGTCACGGTCCCCAGTTCGTGCTCCTCCTGTGCATTCTCTGAACAGAGAGCAAAGAAACATTGCCCTAGTCCCAGGATGGACTGGGGACAGGGGTTGTGTGGGGGACGGGGAGAGACAATACAGGATGAAACTACTAGCCTTGTTGGGAGCCTTAATGCCTCTTGGCAGTCAGAAAAGGCTTCTGAGCAGCCCCATGCTATGCCATTCCTCTCCCAACATCAGTTGCAGGTTTGACCATTTAAAAAAATGATAATTTTACTAGGTTTATTCCGTCACTGATCCTTTTTCTCCCCAGTGAGTTGCAAAGCAAAGCCCAAATGTCATATCTCAGGGAAAGCCGGTGGTGGAAGTTGCTTTCTGATCCCCAGACTGACATGTGTCCTCTGTGGATAGCTAAGGGTCAAGCAAGCTGGAGTGAATATTCAGAAGTATGTCCCTGGACTCCTGACCCAGAAGTTTGGGATAGATGAGTATTTCTCCATCGTCCACCCTCAAGTCACCTTCAGCATCTCCAGCATCTGCAAGTTCATTAACAGCCAATTTGTCTTGAAGACAAGAAGAGAAATGATGCCCAAAGCATGGAAGAGCCAGCCAGCACTCAAACTCCGGGGTAAGAGCCCACATCTTTCCCTTCTGCCTGTTAGATCAGCAGGAATGGGAAGACAGCTTTTCAACTTCTCCCAAGCCAGTGAAGGAACTACATTGAGAACAAAGTTGGGTTTTTTTGTTGTTGTTGTTGTTGTTGCTTTTGTTTGTTTGTTCTTTATTTTCTGATATGTCTACTTGGCCTGACCAGTAAATAACACCTTTTAATTTCAATCATTTCTGGTTTAGACATAAAAGGGCTATATAAAAGCCGGGCGGTGGTGGCGCACGCCTTTAATCCCAGCATTCGGGAGGCAGAGGCAGGCGAATCCCTGTGAGTTCGAGGCCAGCCTGGTCTACAAGAGCTAGTTCCAGGACAGGCACCAAAAACTACAGAGAAACCCTGTCTCGAAAAAAAAAAAGGGCTATATAATAAGTATATATATGCACAGAAACATACTACATGAAAATGTATATATTGTCTATTCCAACACTATACAATATGGCTATACTGTACACTAAAATATACAGGTGGAATTATAAATTCTATAGTTATAAAATTCTGCTATCTGTCACATAAGAGATAATATATTAATTTTATGTCTAGTCTTTCTAAAGCAACAAACTCATCTGACCTATTGGTAGGGAATACACTTTGGTTTTGCTTCAATTATACCAGAAGTTTTTCTATATTTTAATCTACACTATAGGAAATTAATATAAAGAATACTTACAGTTTGTACACACATCACCCTATCCATATCCAGAACATTTTAAACATCTACAGAACTCAAATCCTATGCCTATTAAATATCTGCCTGTTCCTCTTTTCTCCCTATGGCAACCAGCTTTCTACCTTCATGTCTGTGACTGAGACTTTTCTAGGTAGAGGGTAAGGGAAGTACAGTCTTATAGGACTTGTTCCTCTGTGACTGGCTCATTTCCTTTTCTTTTTGGCTTGACAATATTCTATTGCTTTCTTGTGTCTGCCTACTCATTCACTGAAGTCTTGACTTACTTCCTTTGGCTAGTATGACTCTCTGTGACCATAGACTATCTGTTTATCTCCTTGAGTCCTGGATTTTAATTCTTTTGAGCCTGTTTACAGAAGTGGATTTGCTAGATCATATAGTAAATTGCTTTTTTATTGAAAATGTTTTTATACAATGTATTTTGACCATCTTTTTTCTCCTCTCCACCTCCTACCTACCCACCCAACTTCATGTTCTCTCTCTCTTCAACATGTAGAAATAAAGAAGAAAAAACAAGAAAAACACACACACAAACAGAAAGAAAAATAAGCAACCAAAAAAAAAAGAAAAAGTCAAAAAATGTCCCAGCAAAGCAAAATGGGATAAAAAAAAAAAAAAAAGCTACAAAAATACCATCGAGCTTGCTTTGTGTTGGCCAATTACTCCTGGAGATGGATCCTATGCTGAAGTGTAGTTAATGTAACCAGGAAGACTTCATTGGAGAAAACTAATTTTTCCTTTGTTGGCATGTTACAGTTGTAGATAATTCTTGGCTGGCAGTGGGAGATCATGCTTGCACCCCCCTCTCAGCACTGGGTCCCCATCTGGCTCGCACCTGTGCAGGTTCTCTGCATTCCACAGTCTCTGTGAGTTCATATGGGCATTGGTCCTGTGGCCTCTGGAAGACACTGTTTCCTTGGTGTTGTCTATCCTCTCTGGCTCTTAGGATATTTCTGCCTCATCTATTTTTTATGTATATTATTGTATTTTCTTTTTATTTATTTATTTATTAAAAATTTCCACCTCCTCCCCACCTCCCTTTTCCTTCCCTCTCCCCACCTCCCCCTCCCTCTCTAGTCCTAAGAGCAGTCAGGGTTCCCTGCCCCGTGGGAAGTCCAAGGTCCTCCCTGCTTTATCCAGGTCTATAAGGGTGAGCATCCAAACAAACCAGGCTCCCACAAAGTCAGTCCATGCAGTAGAATCAAAACCCAGTGCCATTGTCCTTGGCTTCTCAGTCAGCCTTCATGCCAGCCACATTCAGAGTGTCCAGTTTGAGCACATGTTCCATCACTTCCAGTCCAGCTGGCCTTGGTGAGCTCCCATTAGATCAGTCCCACCGTCTCAGTGGGTGGACGCACCCCTCGTAGTCCTGATTTCCTTGCTCACGTTCTCCCTCCTTCTGCTCCTCGTTTGGACCTTGGGAGCTAAGTCCAGTGCTCCAATGTGGGTCTCTGTCTCTATCTCCATCCATCGCCAGATGAAGGTTCTATGGTGATATGCAAGATATTCATCAGTGTGGCTATGGGACAAGGCCAGTTCAGGCACCCTCTCCTCTGCTGCCCAAGGAACAATCTGGGGACCTCTCCTTGGACCTGGGAACCCCTCTAGAGTCAAGTCTCTTGCAAACCCTAAAATGGCTCCCTTAATTAAGATATTTACTTTCCTGTTTCCATATCCACCCTTCCTTCATCCCACCATTCCATTCCCCCAAGCTCTCTTGAATCCTCCCTTTCTCCCTTCTCTCTATCCATCTCCCCTTACATCCACCCCCCACACCCCCGTGCACCCAAGTTTTGCCTGGAAATCTTGTCTACTTCCAATATCCAGGAGGATAACTATATGATTTTCTTCAGGTTCACCTTCTTATTTAGCTTCTCTAGGATCACGAATTATAGGCTCAATGTCCTTTAATTATGGCTAGAATCCACTTATGAGTGAGTACATACCATATATCTCTTTTGGGTCTGGTTTACCTCACTCAGTAAAGCGTTTTCTATTTCCATCCATTTGCATGAAAAATTCAAGATATCATTGTTTTTTACCACTGAGTAAAACTCCAAAGTGTATATGTTCCACACCTTCTTTAACCATTCGTCTATTGAGGGGCACCGAGGTTGTTTACAGGTTCTGGCTATTACAAATAGTGCTGCTATGAACATAGGTGAACAAATGCTTTTGTAGTATGATAGGGCATCTCTTGGGTATATTCCCAAGAGTGGAATTGCTGGGTCCTGAGGTAGGTTGACTCCCAGTTTCCTGAGAAACCGCCACACTGATTTCCAAAGTGGCTGCACAAGTTTGCATTCCCACCAACAATGGATGAGTGTTCCCTTTACTCCATATCCTCTCCAGCATAGGCTATCATTGGTGTTTTTGATTTTAGCTATTCTGACAGGTGTAAGATGATATCTCAAAGTTGTTTTGATTTGCATTTCCCTGATCACTAAGGAGGTTGAGTGTCTTTTGTGTCTTTTGGCCATTTGAAGTTCTTCTGTTGAGAATTCTCTGTTCAGTTCAGTACCCCATTTTTAAATTGGGTTAATTAGAGTTTTAGTGTCTAGTTTCTTGAGTTCTTTGTATATTTTGGAGATCAGACCTTTGTCTGATGAGGGGTTGGTGAAGATCTTCTCCCAATCAGTAGGTTGCCTTTTTGTCTTAATGACAGTGTCCCTTGCTTTACAGAAGCTTCTCAGTTTCAGGAGGTTCCATTTATTCATTGTTGCTCATATTGTCTGTGCTAATAGGGTTCTACCTAGGAAGTAGTCTCCTGTGCCCATGTCTTGTAGACTACTTCCCACTTTCTCTTCTATCAGGTTCAATGTGATCAGATTGATACTGATGTCTTTAATCCATTTGGACTTGAGTTTTGTGCATGGTGATAGATATGGATCTATTTTCATTCTTCTACAGGTTGACATCCAGTTATGCCAGCACCATTTGTTAAAGATGCTTTCTTTCTTCCATTGTATAGTTTTAGCTCTTTTGTCTAAAATCAGGTGTTCATAGGTTTGTGGATTAAGATCTGAGTCTTCGATTTGATTCCATTGATCAACATCTCTGTTTTTGTGCCAATACCAAGCAGTTTTCATTACTGTAGCTCTGTAATAGAGTTTTAAGTCAGGAATGGTAATGCCTCCGGAAGTACTTTTATTGTATAGGATTGTTTTGCTATCCTGGGTTTTTTGTTTTTCCATATAAACTTGATTATTGTTCTCTCAAGGTCTGTGAAGAATTTTGTTGGGATTTTGATGGGGATTGCATTGAATCTATAGATTGCTTTTGGTAGAATTGCCATTTTTACTATGTTGATCCTCCCAATCCAAAAGCATGGGAGATTCTTCCATTTTCTGGTATCCTCTTCAATTTCTTTCTTCAAAACCTTAAAGTTCTTGTCAAATAGATCTTTCACTTCCTTGGTTAGAGTTACCACAAGATATTTTATGCTATTTGTCTGCCTCATCGTCTTTATCCCCCCCCCCACCGGAGTACTAAAGGGAGAGATTTAATCAAGACATTCAATTTAGAAGTGAGTTATCTAAAGTCTTTTACTCTTTGAACATTTTCTATTTCTGCATTAATTTCCCATCCACTACAAGAAGAAACTTCTCTTGATGTGGGTTGAGTGAGGCACTGATTTATGGGTATAGTTGTGTATCATTAGAAGTCATTTTTGACATGTTTCTTTAGTAGAACAATAGTATGCCCATGACCTATCTGTTCTAAGGTTCTTGGCCATTTGAGCAGTGTCAGATGTGGGTTCCTTCTCAAGGACTGGGCCTTAAATCTAATCCCAAAATAGTTGGCTACACCTATAACATTTGTGCCACTATTACATAGAAACATATATATTGGAGGCAAGTCACAGGTGAGGTTTGCAAAGCTTGTAGCTGGAAGATGTTGATGATTGCCTTAGTCCTCCTGTATCATACAGAGTACCCTCTAGAACCATGAATGCTAGTCACTAGAGGTGAAGCTTCTAATTAGGTATCAGCTGAACTCCATGCTCAGTGACACCTGTGCTTTCTTTAGCAGTAGGGCCTCACCATCAGAATGTGGAGAGTTACCAACAGCCTTGGCAATACATCTCAACAAGATTCAATCCTGGCAGTAGAGGTTTTATTGAGTATCATAAAAGTCTATTTGGCATATTGTCTTACCTAATATTTGGTCTACTCTACTTAGATTCCTTTTATATTATATATATTTAGGAAGCTTCTATAGTTGGAGGTTTTCACATGGTTTTTCAAATGTCCTTTACTGTTATTTATCCTTCCCCATATTCCTTCCTCTTCTGTTCTCTCCAATCCCCCTCCCTATTTAATCCTCCTGTTCTAGTTTCCCCTTCTCTAGCTCCATCCATTCACCTGACAATTTCATGATCTATGAATAATAGTATATCGTGTAAATGTGTGACATTTTCATTATCCATTCATCAGTTGATAGACATCTAGGCTGTTTCCAGTTTCTGGGTACTGAGAATAGAACAGCACTGAACATAAACAAATACCCTCTGTAGTAGACTGTAAAGTCCCTTAGTTAGATGCCCAAGAGTGGTATGGCTGGATCTTGAGGGAGATCAATTCCCAGTTTTCTGAGGAGCTGACATACTGATTTCCACAGCCACTGTACCAGTCTTCACTCCCACTAGTGATGAGTAAGTGTCCTGCTTTGGCCACATCTTCACCAGTCTATGCTGCCATTTGGTTATTGGTCTTGACCATTCTGACTGGGGTAAGCTGAAAATGCAAGGAGTGTTAGTTTGTATATTCCTGGTGGCTAAGAATGCTGAACATTTCTTTAAGTGTTTCTCAGTCATTTGTGTTTCATCTTTTGAGAACTTTCTGCTCAGTTCTGTACCTCATTTTTAAATTGGGTTGTTTTCTTGATTCCAGTTTTATGTTTTAGATCTAAACTCTCTATCAGATGTATAGTTAGTAATGATCTTTTCCCATTGCATAGGTTACTGCTTTATCCAAATTATACAATCCTTTAATGTACAAAAGTTTTTCAGCTCCATGGGGTCCCATTTATTAATTGTTGGTCTTAGTTCCTGTGCTAATGATGTACTACTATTTGTAAAGAGTAGTGTCAATGAGTTCAAACCTATCCCCCACTTTCCTATCTGTCAGATTAGGAGTAGCTGGTTTTATGTTGCAGTCCTTGATCCATTTGGAGTTGAATTTGTACAAGGTGATAGAATGGAGCTGCTTTCATTCTTCTTCATATACCATCCAGTTTGGCCATTTGTTGAAGATGCTGCATTTTTAATAACTCCTTATCAGACAGATGGTTTACAAATATGTTCTCTCATCCTATGGGTTGGCCCAGTTTCTTGTTTGTGTTTCTTGATGCACAGAAGTTTTCAATTTTAATGTATTATAAAGCAAAAAAAATTTAGTGTAGTCTAATTCATCTACATTTCTCTTTCTGGCTGTGTTTTCACAGCCACAAAATCATTGGCACAGCCAAAGCCATTTTTCTCTGTTTTCTTCGAAGAAGTTCATACTTTTATTCTTATGCTTAGGTCTTCGTCCAGTGAATACATTTTTGTACCTGCTATGAGGGGCACCTTGAGTTGCCCATTAGACTGATGATCAATCTGTATTTATGTTAAATATGTGTACAAACTGAGCTGAGGAAAACGCCCCAGGAAAAGATGTTCTGAAGGTTTGAGTTAATGGTAAAGCATAGTGATTGGAGACGTAGGCAGCCAGATGAATACCTGGCTCTGTCATGCAGTTGGAAACACTTTAAAAGGTCTCTTGTGTATACTACTTGAGGTTTGAGGCTAGAAGTGTGTAAAATAATGGACCATGGTTTAGAGAAATGGAGTCTGGCGGGCAAGTAATGGTCATTGCTGGGGTGCAGGTGAGAAGGTTTAGGTGTGAGATTAACTTAGGAAGGAGTCCATGGATGACTCTCAGGACAAAATCACAACATAATAAGACAGGACGTGGTAGATGTTTTAAGAGACTATTTAGAACAATTATTACCATTCTTGCTTGGAAACTGGTAAGGAAGGTGTGGGGAACTGAGAAATGACAAGGACTAAAATCCTTGAGGATAGGAATTTTGTCAGTTCATGCCACCATGTGCCAGGTCAATGGTTGGTACTTAATGCTTAAGTGACAAAGACTTCCTGATAGAGAGCATTTGTAGGGATGGTGGGAAGCGAGATGCAGACATCCGCAAACAAGCATCTAATGGGGAGCAGAGGAAACAAACCAACATAGCTGCCATGCCATCACAGAGGGCACTTGGAGATGGGTATCTAGAACTTCAAGAAGCAGCACGTTTTTGTCTAAGCAATACCATATGCATGGGTGCATCCTTTAACAAAACAGGCACAGGTATACATAAGGAGATCTCAGGCTGTTCATAGAAGTATTGTTTATAGGACTCTAGATACACTAGATATAATGTAATCAATGCTGGCTTTTAATTTAAATAAAACACCACGACCAATATAGTCAGCAAAAGTTGTGCTGTATGTCTGTACCAAATGCCACAGGGAAATATGTTTTATGTGGAAATTCAGATTGCAAATAGATATCAGATAGTCCCTCTTTGGGTAATTCGGAATATTAAGAGTCAATATGCATCTGCAATATGATTATTATAGATGACATTCACTATTCTCTTATTTTTTTCCTTTTCTGTAGTGAATGGATACTGCTTTGTGATACACTAATAATCATATCTATTCTTAAAGAACTGTACAATTTGAGTCTGGGAAGCAAGATTTCTTAGGAGACTCAGATTTGTTGTCATTGTGGTGTAGGATACAGCCGGATAGTGTTAAAAGAGAAAACGCAGACAAGTGTGGTGGCTCATACGTATAATACCAGCACTTGGGAGGGTCAGACAGGGGGATTGCCATGAGTACAAGATTAGCCCAGGTTACAGAGTGATATCCTGACATTAAAAATATGTGAGTGAGTGAATGAATGAATGAATGAGCTGGAGGGATGATCCAATGGTTAAGAGCTCTTGATCTTGTAGAGGGCCCCAGTTCAGTTCCCAGGACCCACATTATACGGTCCACAATTGGCTGTAGCTCTGGTTCCAGGGCATCCAACACATCTATACTCAAGTCGGGAACATAAACACACATACCTACATACAAATAAAAATTTTAAAGAAATAAACACACACACATGCAAACACACACACACAAACGAGAGAGAGAGGGAGAGAGAGAGAGAGAGAGAGAGAGAGAGAGAAGCTGAACTCAGAATCTTAGGCAACGCAACATTTAAGAAAGTGAGAGAAAGAGGGAGAGGCTAGACATAGATAGACACAGACTAAAACAAAACTTCAAATAAGTAAGGAAAGTTCAGAGAGAAATCAGTGGTAGGAAGCTTCAGGAGAAAGAAGGAAAGTTAGACCAACACCTTAAGACAGTAGAAGAGCAGAGAACAGCGAAGACATAGCAGCTGGTGTTGGCACTTCATGCTCAGAACAACGGTCTCAGGAGAACTGCTGTGCAGAGAGCAACAGATGAGAGCGGGGAGACAGAAGTTCAGACGATTCTCATGACACATGGCTAAGAAGGAGGGAGCAGACTGTGCAGTGGCTAAAGGGCATGTGGCACGGGTGAGGCTGGCCTCCCGTTTCCTGTCGGACATTCTCTATTGGTACATTCCTCTCTGTGATGGGCAGGCCAGATGATCTGGATGGACTCTCTGCGCTGCATGATCTTCGTGTGTTCTCCAAAGCTCCGCAGTCTGCAAGAGCTGGAGGAGAGCAAGATGCATCTCTCCGACATCGCTCCCCACGACACCACCAGGGATCTCATCCTCCTCAACCAGCAGAGGCTGGCCGAGATGGAGTTGTCCCGCCAGCTGGAGAAGAAGAAGGAGGAGTTGCGAGTCCTCTCCAAGCACCTGGCCATCGAGAAGAAGAAGACAGAGACCTTGCTGTATGCCATGCTGCCTGAACACGTGGCCAACCAGCTCAAGGAGGGCAAGAAGGTGGCTGCAGGTAAGGTATAGAGAGGATCGTGCTCATGCTAAGGGGTGTGGCCTCTGAACCTAGGCAGAACTGGGCTTGACTGATGGCTTTATCATTTAGAAACAGCATCATCTTGGGCTGAGTGATTAACCCACATCTCTTTTATTTCTCTTCTCTATACTGAAGATAATAAAAAAAATAACACAAGGGTGGGGTGTGGATTGTTTCCAGAGCAGGATGTGGACAAGGGGACTCTGGAGTGTAATGATGATTCTGGGTTCTTATAGAAAATGTTTGTTATTGTAAAGACAGTGAGAAAAAAAAAGACAGTGAGGACTCACTGGTGGGGGGGGGTATAGACGTGTGTGTGTGTGTGTGTGTGTGTGTGTGTGAGATGCATATGCCTGTTCACACATGGAGTTCAGAGATGGCTACCTCTTTCTACTCCTTTCTGTCTTATTCCTTTGAGACAAGGCCTCTTACAGATACTAGAGTTATGGTAGAGGGCAGCAAGCCTCAGAAATCCTCCAGTATCTACCCCTTGCCACATTCAGACTTTTGGACAGGCTCTTCATGTGGGTGTTGGGGATTTGAACTCAGGCCTTCCTGCTCACACAGTAAGCAATCTTACCCTCTTAGCTATCTCCCTACTCCCAGTGAGGTGGCGTGGCTCTTTTATCATATGCCAGGTTTGACTGCGATGTAGTGAGGAAGGGAGGGAAGACTGGAAGCTCATCACACATGAGCAAGGCCTGGGCTGAGGCTGGGTGAGGGGGGACCAGCAAGATTTTTTCCCTAGGGTAAGAGGTGAAGTCTCTGAGGTTGTCATAACATCAAAACATGTTATAATTTATTTCAAGTTGGAATAAGGAGTTGGGAATACGGTCCAGGAGGTAAGACCACTTGTTCTGCAAACACGAAGACCTGAGTTCAAATCCCCATTACCCCCATAAAAAGCAACACGTGAGCACACAGAAGCTTGATACAGCGAGAGAAGTGGAGTTCAAATTGTGAGCATCCACATGAAAAGCGGGGTTTGGCTGCATGCATCTAGAACCCCAGCACTGGGGTTAGAGGAGGCAGAGACAGGTAGATGCTAGAGCTTGCTGGCCAGCCGGCCTAGCTGAAAAGGCGAGCTTCTGGCTCAGTAAGAGACTTTGTTTCGAGGCAGAGTTTGTCAGGGAGCAGAGAGGAAGGTATACATTCCTTCTTCTGGCCTGTGGGCTCATGTATATGAACTCTCATGTCTATACAACACACACACACACACACACACACACACACACACACCAGAAAGAAGATCAGGCCTGAGGCAATGGCAGCCAGGTCAGTTTAGAAATGTCGAGAGTGAGATAGCTGCAGGACTTCACCTAACAAGAGCAGCAAGTGTTAGGAATTGTAGACAGACCTAGAGGGAAAGTTCTAGCATAGAACTACATAGGTCTAGAATCTATTAGGCTTTGTGAATGACGTAAGATCATCTGGTTAGTTTCTGTCAAGCTGATACAAGCTGGAGTCATCTGGGAGGAGAGAATCTCAGTTGAGGAATTGTCTCCATCAGATTGGCTTGTGGCATGTATGTGTGATGTTTTTTTCTTGATTGCTGATTGATGGAGTGTGAATTGCCTCCATCAGATTGGCTCGTGGCATGTCTGTGGGGGGTGTTTTCTTGATTGCTGATTGATAGAGGGTGAATTGCCTCCATCAGATTGGCTTTGTGGCATGTCTATGGGGCGTTTTCTTGGTTGATAGAGGGTGGCTTATCTACCTGAGGGCAGTGTCACCTCTGAGCATGTGGTCCTAGGTTGTATCAGAAAGGTTGTTCAACAGTGAGCCTGGAAGCAAGCAGGTAAGCAGTTCCTCCATGGTCTCTGCTTCAGTTTCTGCTTCCATTCCTGCCTCAACCTTCCTCGTGTTTGATTGTTAACTGGGACTTGTAAAAGGAAGCAAACCTTTCTTCCCACACTGGCTTTAGTCAGTGTTTCACGACAGCAACATGCATGCAAACTAGGACTCTAAAAAAATAGCCAATATGAACAAGAAAAAAAAAATAAAAAATAAAAAAGGGAGAAGGCTGAGATGAACGGAAATACGATCGGTAGAGTCACGTGAAGGGAGTCTAGTGCCAGACGGATAAGCAATGCAGAGGCCCCCACTGCGTTCCAGAGTTCAGCAGTCCACTTAGTACACACTAGCTAGCATGCAGCAGATAACAGTACTGAGAGTCTCCACCTTAGTTCTCACCGAGATGATAAGTGTACATCGGGCAAAGAGACAGCAGATGTGCAGGCCCCAAGGCAGGAGGCTCTCCCTGGGCTGAGATAACCCAAGTAAACCAGGAGTCGTGGGGACATAAGGTCAGAGGTGGCACAGATGGAGAATGGTCCCATTCGTAGGTACACCAAGGATAAAAAAGTGACTATTAGTTAGCAAGATCATTGTCTGCCATGTAGAAATGAGTGGAATTAGGGGTCAGGGTAGAAGAGAGAGAGAGAAACAGGATAATGTGGCAGCTATGTCACTGTGCCAAGACAGACTCCTCCAGACCCAATATGGTGTCTCTGTAGTTCAGGCTCTGCTTTCGGGTCAAAGGGGCCATTTCTCTCAACCCACGGTGCTTTCACTTCTCAGGGGAGCATTTGCCGACTCAAATTCCTGCCTCCGTCACTAACTGGGGAACGCCCTAAGACCCAGGCTCCTTCTGCTTATTTCATGCAATATGACTCTTGTGGAGCAATGGCTGTTGCACAGTAGGGACCCAATGCATGTGCTCATATCTGTTGACTAGATGGGGAAGAGGGGATAACATCAGCTCCTTCCCCCCAAGGGGCAGGCAGGCTTGGTCTTCAAAAGGCATTGGATTAAAAATTCGTAGAATTATTATTCTGTATCCTTGGCTACCGCTGACCTCATTTCTGTTGCAGGGGAATTTGAAACGTGTACAATCCTTTTCAGTGATGTGGTAACATTTACCAACATCTGCGCGGCCTGTGAACCTATCCAAATAGTGAACATGCTGAATGCAATGTACTCCAAGTTTGACAGGCTAACCGGTGTTCACGAGGTCTACAAAGTAAGTGGTGTGTGTGTGTGTGTGTGTGTGTGTGTGTGTGTGTGTGTGTGTGTG